GGGAAAGAGGATTGTGTTTAACTCCTTTGATTTATGCAGGTGGGGGGAAGATGGAAAGCTGAAGAGTGAGGGGGAAATAAAGTTAGGTTGATAACTGGCTGGGAAGGAGATAGGGTTGCCAACTATAGGTGGGAAATTCCTGGAGATTTGTGAGATGGAACCTGGAGAGGGTGAGGTTTGAGGAGGGGTGGGACCTCCCAACCAGCCATTCCCTCCTGGGGAATCGCTGTTGCCAATCTCCAGGTGAGGGGTGGAGATCACTCAGAATTATAATTGATCTCCAGGAGGGAGGGGGGAGGAGATGGAAAGCTGAAATCAGAGGGGCAGATAATGGCAGGTTGATGCTTGGCTGGGAAGGAGATAGGGTTGCCAACTCCAGGTTGGGAAATTCCTTGAGATTTACGGGGTGGAGCCTGGAGACGGTGAGGTTTGAGGAGGAGTGGGACCTCAGCCAGGTACAATGCCATAGACCACCCTCCAAACCAGCAATGTCCTTCTGGGTAACAATTCTTGCCAATCTCCAGGTGAGGGCTGGATATCACTCAAGATTACAACTGCTCTTTAGGTAGCAGGTATCAGTTCCTCTGGAGAAAATGGTGGACTCTGTGTCATTTTACCTGGCTGAGGTTGCCACAGCAAATTGACACTGAGTGCCCAAGGCCTTGGCACTCTTCCCGAGCCTTTTTCTAGAGCTCGTTGTATTTATTTCCACAACGAGCATTATTCCTAGTCTGACATAAATGTCACTTTGTCGGGCCTGGCCATGTGTGCCATAAAATGTAATGCCAGGCATGGGAACTATAAACTTTATAAAGGATACAGGCAAACCCAATTAATAATATATATTTTTAATTCAAAATACAAACATGCTTAAAACATTAACCGTCTTACTGTACTTCCTTCCTGTTGCCCAACCTCCCACTTCCACTGCCTATTATGCATTAGCACTGGGACAGTATACAGGGACATTATGCACAGCCTCTGTCATACTGCAACAAAGGTAATGACCAGTTGCTCACAGGCCACATAAGAGCCTTGAACGGCTGGTTTTGGCCCGTGGGCCGTATGTTTGACATCCTGGTTTAAACCAAGGTTTTGTGTCATGTCTGAACTGAGCCAGTGTGTTTTTGTGAACAGGTTCTTCAAAACAAAAACATTCTAAAAGGGGTCTAAGAGGATTCTTCGTTTGGGGAGGAAAGATTGCTTATTATTTTCTTTACATTGTTAATGTCCTCTCTGATTTCAGAAGGTTATTGTGGCTGGATAATGACATTGCTGCTTTGAAAATGCTGATGGTTGGGGAAACTGTTGCTATGCAGTGCCCTGAATGCATCTAAAATGCTTGGCAAATTCATTTCCCAGTCTGCTTTGTGATTTCTTGGCTCAGCTAAAATCTCCCGCTGCTTAATCCATCCAAAGTCCACGATAGTCTTTGATTACTACAAATGTAACCCTCTTACACTTAACAGATTTGTCAGTCTTATGGCCAAATACACAAAGCACAACATTTCTGGAAGCTGAACAAAAATATCCACTTCAAATTCCTTGGGGGGGGGGGAGATTGAGATCCTGGTTTGTGCTACAATTCTTCATTGACCGTGGAAAAAAGAGTCAGTAAAATGCTTGCAGACACTACCATAGTAGCCCTCAGAAAGCCTCCCCAATGATCATGCCTAAGCACCTTTCAAAAAATAAAGTTAAATATGCAGTTTCTGTGAACAGCATGTGAAAAATAAAATATGTGCTTAATATTTATATCGGGAAGGGATCAGCTTGTACGTTCTGGACTTTAAGTCACTTACTGCTCACGAAGTTTGCACGTTCTGGACATAGGCTTTCAGTTATTTACTGCTCACAAATTACCCTTCAACACAGTTTTAACTACCCTTTTGTAACTGTTCTTGAAACACATTTGCCCCTCTAATCTTTAGCTGAATGCTTTGAGGTGTATAGAGGCAGCTCCTGGTAATGTGACATAATATCACTATAGTCCCAAGTTTTTCCACCTGCTCCCAACAGCAACCAGTGAAGTTAAACAGAGGCAGGGAAACTGAATTAGATGTTGTCAGGCCATACAATTTGCTTCTCTCCTGTTTACCAAGAGAGGCAGGAAGACAGGTTTTGTTCATAGCAATGTGACCTTTGTTTCACCTTAGGTCACTGATATGGAACCAAGGTTGACAGCAATTCCACATTAAGAAATTATTGGAATGAAAGTGTGACCTTAAGCAAGTGCGTATCTCTCATTCCCAAAGCTTCTGACAAAAGTTCAAAAGGCATGAATTTATTTATTTATTTAAAACACTGATTTCTACCTTGCAGAACTCAAAAGGGCTTACAACATAAATAAAACAACAGTTATAAAACGCACAAAATACATCAGGGTCTAGGACACGAAAAGACATCAGTGACAGTCTCAGTGGGACTCTGAACTGTGTTAGTTCCCTCAATCTGTGCTCAACTCCAGACCCTGAACCTGTCACATCTATTTATCTGAGATCCATTATTTCCTTTACTTCCAGGTGGGTAGCCACATTGGTCTGAAGAAGTGAAACTGAAGTAGTGTGGGCCCACACGAAAGCTTATACCCAGAATTAAACTTTGTTGGTCTCTTTCAAAAAATCCCTTTACTTTGTAACCCTCCCCCATCCCTCACCCCCAAACTGGGATGAATTTGCATAATTGTAGCTTGTTATTCAAACACCGAAACCTGGTACTTGTAAGAATTATAACAATATCAGACCATTCTGTTTTAAGCTGCTTTTGATATACTCATGCCACGACCAGAAGTTATTTTGCAAGCATTTTGTGCCGGCACCTGAAAACACAAAGAACTGGCTTTGGAATTTTTGTTTCCTTACATGTGTTGAGAAGCGTTGGGGAAGAGATGAGAGTACTGTGGGGCTGAGTCTTCAGGGCCATGAGGGGCTGCATGGCTGAGGACCATCAAAACTGGCCTGTGAGGATACATCTTCTTCGAGATTCGGAAGAAACTAATACTGTCGTTGGTGATCAAGTCCGTCAGATAATCCTGAAAGAGTGGAGAAAGAGAAAGCTGAATGGTACATCAGTAACAGCCATCTACAATCCCAGAAAGCAGTCCTGATTTATTTTTTAAAGTATGTACATGAGTAGGATGTATAAGGAGCTGCGGTGGCTCAAGTGGTTAAGACGCTGAACTGCAGGCTGTGGAAGGTCAGTAGTTCAGCAGTTCGAGACCCGGGTGCCGCATGATGGAGTGAGCTCCCATCTCTAGTTCCAGCTCCTGCCAACCTAGCAGTTCGAAAGCAAGACTGCATGGCTGAGGACCATCAAAACTGGCCTGTGAGGATACATCTTCTTCGAGATTCGGAAGAAACTAATACTGTCGTTGGTGATCAAGTCCGTCAGATAATCCTGAAAGAGTGGAGAAAGAGAAAGCTGAATGGTACATCAGTAACAGCCATCTACAATCCCAGAAAGCAGTCCTGATTTATTTTTTAAAGGATGTACATGAGTAGGATGTATAGATTTGTAATATAATTTTTTTAATGTTGTCCCATTGGATGGCCACATTGTAATTTACAGCTTGCTATGTCCACTGACTTAAGTGGGAGGTACAAGAACCACACCTTCCTTCACCTGTTCTTCCCCTGGGCCTTCTTTATTGGTTCTACTTTTCTGACTGCTATGGGGCATACCAGCAGTCCTATTCTTGGAAGAAGGTAGAAGAAGGGGAACATACATGAACATGCCTCATACGAAGCAGGCCATTTGGTCCATCAAGGTCAGTATTGTTTACTCAGAACTGGCAGTGGCTCTCCAGGATCTCAAGGAGAGGTCTTTCACATCAACTACTACCTGGCCCTTTTTTAAGTGGAGCTTCCAGGGATTGAATCTGGTATCTTCTGAATGCCAAGCAGATGTTCTACCATTGAGCCATGCCACCCCCCCAAAGGGATAGATGACTAGAATGGGGGAGAAATGGAGGGGGGGGAGCTGTAGTAGCCACATCACCTGTTCAATCATTATTTTTTAAAGCTACAGTGCAAATCACTGAGTTGCAATCTGGCAATACTACTGTCAAATAAAAACAAAAACAAGATGTTCAGAGGACTTAGTGGAAGTAGGAATAGAAACACGATCTATGGAACTACTTGCCATCTTTGGCAAGATTGCAGTATTAAATTATAGGGCAATTTATTGCAATTTATTGCCAAACCTTCATAAAGACTCCATTTAATCCAAAAAATATGTTCCACTGAAGGATTGTTTTGAAAAGTGTGTTAGTGCGACTGGAGGCCTGACCTCATTATGATGACACACGATTAACACCCTAGAGATGATGGTGTATCACTTTTTCCTATTAACTCCGAAAACATTCTTGGAAGACATGCTTTTTGGGACCTTTAAGAATGTCATGACATGGGCACAGATATTTTTCCCACATAGAAAAAAGCCCTTCTATGCTGGGAAAAGCATAATTAGTCCTTGATTTACTCATTAATATGATTTTCAGCAGTTTCTACTGCTTTCACAACTGTTTCAAAGCACATAAAATGAACATAGATTAGACATTTATTTCCAAATACAAGTTAGCCAAACGAAACCATAATAAGGCTTTTCTCTTACTTGGACTAGACCGCAGTACTGTGTGTGGACAATGAAATCAATAGGATTCATCCTCAGATTAATATGCACATGGTTCAGGAGTTGAGAAACACACCCATTTATCATTAATGACTATGTCTCACACTACATTGTGCATTGAAATTAAAAAGCATGTTGATAATGACATATAAAGCCTCTGGTTCTGTGATCTATTTTAAATATTTTTATACTGCACGCTCAACTCATACAGGTTTATAAGGTTTCTCACAATTACAAGTATAAAAGAAACTACAATAAAAGACCAACAAATTATTAAAAAATTAGTTCCATAATTAGCAGCTCAAACAATTAGGAATATTAATCAAAAACCCCTGCATCCTCCTTTCCTTTCACAGTTGGCTGTGAAAACTGACAACTGAAAGGTTTATGCTGCACATTGTGTAAACTTCCGTATGTCCAATCAGGAAATAATTCAGAGATAATTTCCTGGACATCTAAAAAGTTACATCCAGACTGGGGCTCCGTGCAACTCTATCACTGCTTTAGAACTCTAGGAATTGGCACGAGATTACCACAAGTACAAAGTCACCATCAAACACTCAGACCTGAATTTTTAAAAAACTTTTGTATTTAGGGTTGCCAAGTCCCTTTGTTGTGCTGGCAGGGGGATGGGGTGCGTGTTCCAGGGTGGGCATGGATGTTGCACGACATGCTAACGTCACCCGGAAGTTGGGGGTGATGCTCTGTTTTTTGGATAAACTCTATGGTAAAAGCATCCTCAAACCATAGATTTCCAGGAAAACTTGTTGGTCTTTAAGGTATTACTGGACTCGAATCTTATTCCTTTATGTAATGTTTTACCAATTCAAAAGAGTGCATGCACACATCAGTAAACAAGCACATAAACATACAAAATTTGATACAATCATATGTACAGTCAGATTAGGCTTGCCAAGTCCCCCTGGGGGGCGGGGAAACCCCCACCTGAGAGGCCCGTTACCCACCACTGGCGGATCGGGCCCCGAGGGGAACCCCACCCCCAAAGCACGCGACGTGCCCGGCATCAGCACGTCACCCGGAAGTGACGCAGTCGCGTCGGGCACGTTGGGGGCAGGGCCGCGGTCATCCAAGGGAAAACTCTATGGTTTTCCCTCGGATGATTGTGTCCCCACCCCCGGCCTGCCTGACGTGGTTGCGTCACTTCTGGGTGACGTGGTTCCGGCACGCGTGCACTTTGCGCGTGCGCACAAACTCCCGGAGTGGTGCTGGAGTCCCCCGCTCTACATACAGCGAGGACTTGGCAACCCTAAGTAAGATCAATGCAGCTTTTTTTTTGCAGTGTTTATCAATGAATGCATTCACATTAGTAATGTAGAGCGGGGGAAGAAGACGCAAATTAACTGAAAGATCACTTTAGACATTCTCTTCCCTAAACTGGAATTAAGGAAAAGTGGAATGCTATGCAGATAAAAATTCCAGAACAATCAAGGAACAGAACTGAGGAAAACTAGTCTTTCCTACTTCAAAGTGGCCACCCATTTTGTTGCACTTATCAGATTCATTTGGGTTCGATCCTGGAAAGTTTCAAACTGATTCCAAAATGACTACATGGAAACTAGATCCTCACATTTGGCAAAACCGGATTATTCCAGAATCTCTTATTTATGTACTATTCTCAGCCAGTGTGCTTTGTGTGTGTGGTCCATTTCTATTCATACCCACATTTTAAAAAAAAAAACAGAATTAAAGTGGTTCTGTCTAGCCTCACTATCATGACAGCTGGTAGACAGCACTGTGAAAGAAAAATACATATTACCTCATGTCTACTTCCAAGTAGGACTGCCAACCTAAGGCTGGCAACTGACTGGAGAGACTGACCACCAGGGGAGGCCCTCACCAGTGATGCAGCGATGTTGCTGGGGATGTGGGGACATAACTTCTGGGCTGCGCTGGAAGTCACGTCACCAGTACCACCCCACTAAGTGGCAGCAGGGGAACAAGGCTGCCAGCTGGAGGTTTCCCACTAAGCCAGGAGACCTGGGCAGCCCTACTTTCAGACCTAGTCCTCAGTGAAGTGGTAAAAGCTGCACTGCTTCAGATTGCACGTGAGGAGGAATCATATGACTAAATGCTCCTTCAGTTTTCTGTGAAAAAGGAGGTCAGGATTAGGGTCATAGCCTAACCTTCTTGATGAATTAATTTTCTATATGTAGGAAAGCTTCTTTGGGGGGAGGTATGGAAAATTCAATCACATGAGGCCCCATCAAACATAGGGCTGCCAACTCTGGGGTTGGAAAATGTCTGGAAATTTAGGGGCGGAGCCTAGGGATGGCAAGGCTTGGGGAGGAGAGGGATCTCAGCAGGGTATAATGCCATAGTGCCCACTCTCCAAAGCAGCCATTGTCTCTAGGTAGGGCTGCCAAGTCCCCTGGGGGGCGGGGTTTTCCCTGCCGAAAGGGCCCCCAACCCACAAGTCCAGATCAGGCCAGTGGGGGGAACCCTGCCCCCAAAGTGCCCAGTTCGCCCCGACATGCCTGGCGCAATGATGTTACCTGGAGGTGACATCATCGCACCAGGCATGTCGCCGGTCGACACTCTAGCAATCAGCCTGAAAACTCTATGGTACCATAGAGTTTTCAGGCTGATTGCTAGAGCGTCAGCCGGCGACGTACCCAACGTGATGACGTCACTTCCAGATAACGTCATTGCGCCGTGTGCGCACCAATCTCCCAGACCAAAACTGGGTCTCCCCCACTGTGCCAAGTAAGTGACTTGGCAACCCTATCGCCAGGGGAACTGATCTCTCTAGTCCAAAGATCAGTTGTAATCTCAGGAGATTTCCAGGTCCCATCTGGAGGTTTGCAGCCCTAATCAAACATAAAGGGAAGGGAATGATACCTCATAGTTCAAATTATTGATGCTGAACCACTCTTTCACTCTCTATTTAACAATGATTGTGCAGAAACACAAAGTGAGGCGACATTAACTCCCCCCCACCCTTTTCGTTCCTTTAGGGACGAGGAAAGAAAGAAATAAACAAAGAGGAGACATATTCATTCAGAAGCTGATTTTCCTATCAGAAGCTGATTTTCCTATCTAACAGCAAGAGCATGACGATTTTGTTTACCGTCTCAGAAGCCATTTCACTGCATGGGATATGCTATTTTGAGACCATTTCTGTCACTGCAGCAAGAGGCAGAATTCATCCTCCAGCTCCCCCCCCCCATCTGATGCTGTCTGAGGTGGAACAGCCCAGATACTGGTTTGCCAGCTCAGTGAACAGTGGGCCAACGTTTCAGATTTGAGACACAATATTTAGTGTTTACATGTAACTGTGAAGGTAACGTGTTTTTCTATTTTTTTTTAATCTGATCATCAAAATTATGCTCTGAAACAGCAGTGTGTGAAATACAAGAATACAACAAACTTAAAAACTGCCAA